GAAAGAGAGAGGGAAGCTGGTGTGTGTGTGAATGTGTAGGAGAGTCTCAGCTATGTTCTGAGTTGTTTATATTCACTAGAAAGAAATCAACAGCACTTAGTATGTGACAACCTCTGAAGACAGAGAACATCTTTTAAGCAGTGCAGGAAAAGAGCAGATTCATCTAAGGGACAGATTTGGGGATGAGTGGGGAGCTAAATTCCATGCGTGTACTAGTTTTTACCTCACTTTTGCATTAGGATGTCAACAATTAATAGAATCTCAGCATAAAGGTTTAATTTAAGGGGGACACTGTGGGGTGCTCTCTTTCACCAATTCTGTTTGCTCTTGCATCTGCAAGCCTGGCATGCCTGACTGTGATTAATGAGAAACTAAAAAGGATTAGAGTGCATCAGGGGAGGTACGTCTAATCATCCCTTCCCCTCCCAAGTGTCTCTTGATAAATATGGTACCTTCGGTATTCCTGACATATCCTGGAAAGGTTCTCCCCTCACTGCACTTGTGTTTTCAATGAACTGGGTTTCTTCTCAAAAAAATGACAAAAAATAAAGCTGAAAGCATCTATTAGGGCAGGCGTCAAAATCACAGAGATCAAAGTTTCTTTTCATCCTCCCCAGAGAGCCTCAGACATTTAGGAATTCAAAACAAAACTCCATTGTAAGAAATCTCTTCAAAGCTGGCACGGTGCTGCAGCTTATATGTTCTGCACACAGAAGGAAAGCACTGACCCACACAGGAGAGCTCCTCAAAATACCCATGCAGGCAGAGGGCTTCCATCAGTGGCACTTCTGGCAAGATCTTCCCCTTCCTCCCTCTCTCAAGAGGAGATATATCTATTGATTTGCAGTAAAGTTCAGCCCTGCAGATTTCAACATTCACATCACTGCATCTAAGTAGTTGGTCTCCATTCTGCTGGATGGAGCATTTGAGCTCTCTCAAATTCAGCCCACAGTGTTTCTGCTATAACTCAGATCTCTTTTAGGGAATCATGTATTTCAGCACGTTTTTTTTACTCTTCTAATTTTTTTTATAGAACCTCTTGGTTTTATGAACAAATACTGCCTTTCCTTTCTATAGCATATTCCATTTGAATTTGCTGAGCTTTTGACAAACATTTAGGTAGTCAGACTTACAACTGTTGAGGTAGGGAAACACTACAAAAATCTGCTTTGCAGGTCAGGGTGCACCTTTAAATTATGCAGCTTGCCCAAGGTCACACAGGACAGCTATGAGAAAGCTTGAAATTCCAGTCAGGAGCCCTAAGTTCACTCCTTTACTTTTACCACATGGCCTTCCTTGAGGCACCTCATTCAGGTGTTCTGCAGTTAAGTGTGCTGCTTTCCTGTATTGCAATTATATTAAGTCCCATTTTTCTAGCGTTCCAATATTATGCCTATTGCTGCACACTGCATCTGGCATAGGAATGCAGTGTTGCTCTTACTAGGCTGTCAAAGAGAATATATCATTACAAAAATAAATAATGTCTAGCTGCTTCTGGCATTTCAGTCCAAGCAGTATTTATCACTTCTGGCTGGTCAGTGCCTGATTCAATGCCCTTAAAAACCAATGGGTATATTCCCAGTTGAATTCAACGTGCATTTAATCAGGTCTTTGATAATTGTGCTTCCAAACTTCACATTTCATGAGCACTACAGTACGGTCTCTTCTATTTTTAGAGCATTATTCCACTTACTTCACTGTGCAGACTGATACAATGGATTTTCCTCTGCATGGATTACGACAGTGAATGTATGTTTGTACAAGCAGGCTCTAGTTTTAGTTCTAGATTTAGTTCAGCCCCAGTGTGATGCTGCCTACATGTGTGGCAAGCTGGGAGTAATGCTAAAAATATATATATATATATATTTTGTCGTAAATGAACAAAAATATTCATAAAGACAATTAAATTTCATATATGAGTTCAATGACAGAAGGAATCTTCCACTATTCAAACTGTCTGCACTTCTGAGTGAGCGTTCCTCTCCAGCCTTCACAGGTGGGGTAGGACAGCTTTCCTGGGCCCAGCACGGTCCTTCCAGGCAGAAGTCCTGGGTGGCCTTTAACAAAGAAAACCTTGCTTCACAGTTTGCTCCTTCCCTGATGTAAGTCAGGAGCAGCTCCATCAAGGGATGTAAAGTAGAGGAAGGGAAGGAAGCCTCCATTAAGTGTCCATAACGTTTAGTTCTTCAAAGTATTTTTAAGTTCCCCATTCAAAAAGCTGAAATGAAACCAGTAGCAGTTTGTAATTGCAGTTCCTCTGAAGAGAGGGGACAAAGTCTGGGGTGTGATGTGCTGCCTCTCAGCCGAGGCAGCCTACAGACATTTTAGAAACAAAAATTACATCTTAAAACTATGAGTAGCTTTAACAATTGAACTCTAAAGAATTAAACATCATATAAACATTTCACACTTTTTGTTTTTCTTTCTTTCCAAGGGTCCATAGCCGAGTCATTCAATCCTGTGCAAAGGTCATGTTACTATGGATATGACCTGCAAGAAATGTGTTGCCTCAGAGCAGCGCAAGTCACATGAACAGGCTAAAAGCCAAGCCTGCTGATTCACAGTCTTGTCAGGATTTTCATGCTTGTGTTGGTTTCACTGAAGAGCAGTCCTTGCACCATCGAGTCTATGTTCGTCCTTTAAAAGTGTTCATGCAGGTGTAGCTCCCGGAAAACTTGTGAATTTCTTCAAGTGCTGCCTGAGGGAGAATGCTGCAGGGGAAACAGAAAGAAAGAAAATAAGCAGACCAGACAAACCACTTTATCTATTCTAATAAGAGGATGTGTAAATATGTGTTTATATATACACACACACGTAAGTATACATAGTCTCAAAAATCAGCTAGTGAGAGTGCACAGACAAAACGTGTGTCAGTATCCAGCTGTGAGTAGGCCTAAAATGAGAAAGTTGTATCTAGTCACTCTTTCTCTACAGAAATATTTATCCAAAAAGGTCTGTAGAAACCATAACTTGGAAGACACCATCATGTTTTAGTCCTCCCAAATATTGTGCAGAATCTTGCACTGTGAAATGCACAAATTTAAACCGAGTTCTCTGGTTAACTTGTCGTCTATTTGTGCTAGGCCTCCTTATCATAAGGCATGGATATACATCTAATTTCCTGACAGCTACTGTAATGCAAAATAAATTATTAATTCTTACAATAGCGAGGAAAGATAACATTTTCAGTCTGTAGAATTTCTGGGAACTTTTGAGAGTATCCCAAATTTTACATTCAGAGCAAAGCCCTTATTGTGAATTATTTTTTCTTGTTTGAGACACAGAATCGTAATTATTTTCCACAGAAATCTCACGGCTTGTTTCAGTTCCTGACTGAAGTAGGTTTTCCAAAGCCTTTAGTGCAAACTCTCACAGAAACACAATTTTTAATGTCCTTTCTCTTTAGTTGTTTCCAGATATGAAGTTATGGCTTTCTTTCCGTAGGGACTTCAAAATTGTTGTCCTAATCATACAGAAAAATATTTATTAAGTAGTTTCATTGCTTTAACAGAAGCAATACTCTCTGAATACAACTGTGATGTACAACCTTATTGTACAGAAATCCTTTACAACATAAAGCCTAGAGTCCAAAACGCAACATACTAAATCAAAATCAACTACATGCACATGTTAAGAAATTTTCTAGATACAAATACCAGTTCAGACTTCAGAAATCCACAGTCTGGGAGTGAAACTGGTTTCATAAAGGAGTTATACCCAGCAACAACATCTATGAAGGGAATCTCAGAAAGTTTTCTCCCTTTTCCTTCTATGATCCCTTTCATGGGAAGGGATCAACCAGTCTGATCCTGGATACTGGGTTACAGTCAAACTACGGTTGGCCTTGGTGGACACATACAGAGGACTGGAAGCCAATCTTGCCCAACTGTCTAGGCCATTGCTGGGCCAAGGAACTATTTACCTTTTTAGGATGACAAGAACATGCATTGTCCATGGAAGGAGCAGGAAAGCTTGATTCATCTGAACAGCTTCTACTGTCCTCCTAGCCACTGTCTCTGGCTTGAGAGGAGGAAAAAGATTAGGGAACCTGAATAAATAAAGTAAAAAAATAAAATAATTATTTGTTAACCAATCTCCTTCTTTAAGATATCACTGTCCAAGTCCTGTTACTCACTAAACTGTCACTGGTTACTGGCATTCAAGCATGTCCCAAAGCAGGCTGAAAGGAGCAGGGAGTTCCAGCTCCAGCCAGAAAGCTGGAAAGCGAAAAGCCCAGTTCCAACCAGGACTACTGGGTTAGCTAAATGGTTAAGAATGTACATGTTGGTGCCTTTAGGGCGAAGTGGCAGAGTGTATTCAGAACCTTGATTCAGAGATTTTCTTAAAATCTATGCAAAACCAGTATCAAAATGCTGTCTGTTGAGTGTTGGTGTTTTTCTTCTTCCTCTCTCTTGCTCTTTGCTTGATTCAAATTCTTGAAAGGTATACAATATATAATAATATTTGAAATACAAATATTTCCCCCCCATTGCCTTTCATACCAATCACGCGGCTTTTCCCAGCTCCAGCAGTAGTTTGACACTGCATATTTTCTTGATGAAGAGAGCACAAACTATATTAATAGGCTATTTTGTCCTTTGTAAAACAGTAATTTGGTCAGCCATTAGTCTCTGAATTTAGCTTGTTCTCTTAGAGGTAAAAAGGAGGTACTGATAGCCTTACTTCACTAAGTGTCTGTCATTCTCCATGTGGGAGAGGTTTAAGAATTTCAACGAATAAAGAAGGAATCTGTACAGTTAATTCTCAAGTAATTTGTAGACTGCTCCTTTTGAATGACCTCAATTTTCAGATTGCCTCCCCTCCCTCTCTGTTGGCTGCATGTGGCCCAAACACACTCAGAGAAAAATAGCTTTCAGTTTTCTCTGTAGAAGCAAATGTCTCGCTCAGTACAGGCAGGCTGTATGAATATGCCAGCAAACTGAGGGAACCAGTCTGTTGAGTCCCAGGTGGCCTAGAGTGACCCTCTGTTCCCAGGCAGCCAAATGAGACATCAAATTCTCTTAACTAAATGAAGCATTAATTAGGAGTGTATTCTGATGATTCATTTAAAATGAGATGCTTTATTCTTGTTCTCCTGGACTGACCTGATTCTCATGCCTTGAAACATCTCTGTGCTGGTGTGGAAGGGCAGCACTGTTGTGGCATTCACTCCGGGACAGTCCAACAGCCCCAGGGTCAGGCTCTCCATAAAGGCAAAGGAGGAGGCTTTGGAGGTGCAGTAGTCAATGGCACCAGGGATGGCTGACAGGGCCAGGACAGAGTTCAGGCAAACAATGTGTCCATTCTGCAGCTCCAGCATCCTCGGCAAGAATGCTTTGGTGGTCTGAAGAACAACAGAGTAAAAAAAAAATAAAATTTAAATAAAAAAGTGTTGTATCTCTGCTGAGCAAACAAAACTACAGTTACTGAAAAAAAATAACGTGACACAAAGACAACAAGCCAAACAGTGCTTTTCATTATGCTAGGAAAGGAGTGGGAGAGTAGGTTATTGCTTTGTCATTTTCTGAAAGATTCTAAACAGGCAAAATTTATGTAGGAAAAAAAAATAAAATCTTTCTCAGTGCATAAGTGAGCAGTATCCACAGATAAAGGCCACGAACAGAATGCTTTGTATGTTGAAGAACTTCTTGTAGAGGACAAAGTCTCCAACAGAGTGATGAAATCACAAGAAGCTCTATTTTTATTACTATTATCTAATTCAAAATGGAATGAGTTTCACACTAGTTTCCTTCCCTGAACTATGTAGTCTCACGCTCCTCTGATGCTCCATACACATCACTGTACAGAAAACTATCCTCTGTAAGTTCAGGCTTTCTCAAAAGAAATCAAATGTTTTACTGCAAATCACAGAATGGCGATACAAGAGCATCAAATTCTGTGTTACTACTGGAAAAAATAATATTTTTCAATTTCTTTCCTCTGGCCTTAGTCCCTCACATTGTTTTTCCTGTCCCCTTTTCATGTCAGACTGATTTTACAAAGTATAATTCAGAAAGACATAGTAGCAGCCAAGCGTTCACTGGCTGTAATCTGTCACTCTCATTCCCAATTCTGAATACATGTGACACAAGAGCTTATCTTACCCAGAACTGCCCCAGGGTGTTAATATGTTGTGATTTGAGCAGTGCATCGTCATCGCTGTCCATCAGGCTCTTACCATGGACCACAGCAGCATTGTTCACCAGGATGGTGATATCACCCACCTGCAAAAAAAAAGCAAATTACTTGTTACAACTAATATCTCTCCTCACACATCGGCAGTCACCGTTGTAACTGAATTATCTGTTACTGCCTAAATGTTATTTTCGTAGCTTTTGACATTCTTGCCTATAGGCCTTGTAATCCTTCTGGATCACTTAAAACAGGTAGCTAGACTTTGTACGGACGATCAATTTTTTTCCCTATTTGCCTATATTCTTTTTTTTTCTTCATCAAATATAGTTCGTTATTAAATTCTGCCCCCACAAGCAGTGTTTCCACAGACACTAACCTTTTCCCGCACAGCTTTGGCTTGTCGATAGACCTCCTCTCGATTTCCTACATCACAAATGAAATAATGGCATTCTGTCCCCATCATCCTGATTTCCTCTGTGGTCTCCTTCAGGCATTTCTCAGTTCGACCCCACAGGATAATCTGCAGTAAGAAACATTTGTTAGAGTCAAACTGCTTCTGCTTCAAATCTAAAATAATTAAAACATGCTTCGAACTTCAACAATTTGATGAACATTTGATGTGTTTTCACTGTCAGTTGTGTTGCATTGTTTTATTTAAAACTAACAATGATTTTCTATCACATGGAGATGAGACTTGACTATCATGGTGGCAGCTGCATCCCACTGCTGAGACTCTTATTTACAGGTTCTTTACCTGTAGCTACACAATAGCTAACATAAAGAAACACACAAAAAACCCAAAGAGATCTTTAGCCTAACATGACAAATATATGAAACACTTGGCAAATTTTCTGTATTATGAAATTTCACATCTATCTCTGCTTTTGCTATACGCACACACAAAGATGAATTTATTCTAAAATCCCACATCTTCCTGTATGTCTGGTATGTTATCTACTTCTTGTTCTACATTTGGAGATAGTATCTGCTCTGCAGTAAAACATATTTTTTCAGCATATCATATGTAACTGTTTGCAATGCTGTTTGCAGGCTGGTGTCCTAGATGCATTGCAAACAAGAGGTTCATCCTAATACAGACATTTAAAGTGAGACATTTTAAGCATGCATTTATTTTACAACTAATATATGCAAGATTTCACTTGCCGCTCCCATTTAACACAGTAAAAATGAGACAATACTTCTTGTACAAAAAACGATTCTGAATATCTGTGGGAACAAAACATTCAGATCACGTAGCGTGGACTGGATATATCATGAAGACATTACCGGCACAACCCTATTTGTATTTCTATACCACCATGGAGATCAGAAATAGAAACAACTTGAGAAGTTATCAGGTTCATTAACTGTAATTGTAGGGCTTTATCAAGAATGATTTTTGCCAGTGAGACAACAACATTAGTCTCAAGTACGGTGCTTCCACCACTGTCTCTCAAATATTAATCTACAGCTAAAGAGATTTAACCAAAATATTTTTTTCTAGTATTTAACCTTATTTTATGTTTCTTTTAAGGCTACTGGAAGGAATAGAAATTAATCTCTCTGTTACCCAAGACTTCTATATATGAATCAATCTATCCTTTTTGCTCCTCAAGCTAAGTTTTCTCAGCATTCATAATGAATGGTGACTCACTTGTCATTTTGCAAAAAAATAAACTACTGAATGGAGTATGTTACTGCAATCAGCTGTCCGCTCTGTGAGACAAACAGCAAGATCCAGAAGAGAAAGAAGAAAAGGCTGCTACTGCTCACAATTGCAGTTGTGAACACTGATAATGCAAAATCACTATTCAATATTAAAAGATAAATGAGGGCATTCACATAGTCAAATGCAGGTTTACTCTGATCAGGGGACTGGGAAATCTGGCCTTAAAAATGGAACAGCTTTCTAGCTCTCAGAGACAGTGTTATTTCCAAGCAGTGGCATCGCCTTTCCTCCTGTGGTCCAGGATTACAGTTGCTTCCCATAACACTGTGTATTCAGTATGAATCTGATTGGTATATTGACTTTTTAAAGGTTTAAAATAAGCACACTTTAAAGATTTAATAATCTTTGAATTTTCCAAAAGTTGAAAAAAACAGAAAAAAGGCAACTCTAAATTGTATCATTAAATTAACGTATTAACAGCAAGCTAAACATAAAAATTTAGGACATGCAGTATTCCCTCCCCGCAACAAATCCCTTGCAGAGAGCTTTAACATGCTTATTTTTAAGGACTAGTTAGGCTTATCTTATAACTGGTACTAAAACTAATCTCTGGTGGGGTCAAAAAGCTCTTCCAGAGTGATTAAGCAAGGCTAAAATGCAGAAGGACCTAGGTCCTCAACCATTTCCTACACGAGTTAATTTTATAATTAATCCCACTTATAAATCATTGGCACATCCTTGAACATAAACACACACTGACTGGTAAATTTAGATTCTCAAAATCACCAAAGGACTAATGAGTTGGTTAACCAGAAACTTCAGAACATGTACAAATATGCCAGAGCCATCTCATGGGAAATCTCATCTCAGGGGAAGTAATTTTCAAGGAAAAAGCTGTGACCAGACTTAAAAACTATAAGAAAGCATATGACTAAAAATGTGGGTTGTGTACTGGCCTGTCTTCGAAAGTCACAGCTTATCACCCCTGGCCATCAGACGCTGGCATCTACATGAAGCTCGTAAAACTGATGATTATTCACTCGCTTCTGAACTCAGAGCTAGACTGGGTGATATTTCTTACGTCTACTCTGCAGACTTGAAGGGAAATCAAGAACATGTGAGAGATTTCACAAGCTTTCAGGAAATATTTACAAAATACTGTTCAGCTATACGCATACACACATACTTGCTCTCTCTTTCACAACCTACATCTCTGTGGAAGGGAGAAAAAAACCCACTACGAAATGTCAACCGTAAACATCAAGTTTGATGCCCACAGAGTTTGCATCAGTGAGAACTTCAACCTTTTAGCAGGATTGGATCAGTCAAATGCAGACTCTAAAAAATTAACTGACAAGTTGAAGAGCGATGCAAGGTAGGAGAGGAAGAGGAGAGAAACAGAAAGAAGGTGTCAGACAAGGGGAGTAAGGCAAGAAACTGCCTTCACATACCGAACACGCTAGGATTTCACACTGCTATTGCAAAATATAAAGTAGATCACTCACTCTTCACTTTAATCTGTTTCAAACATCCATACAGCCTCCTATTCCCGAGAGTTGCCACTGATGCATGGAATGTCAGGAAATGTACATGGAAGAACAGTTAAGCAAAGGACGACCTGTCAAAGGAACATCTGTCTGTGATGCAACTCTTGGACATAACATTTTTTATGCCCCAATAGTTACTTTGGGACCCTTAATATCCTACAGGCAAGTCTTGCAAGGTCACCCCATTAAAATCTGGGCCATCTGGGGAAGACAGAATTTGCTGGATATCCTGCTGACAGCATTAAATTCAGTACTGATTTTTTCCATGGGAAGTTTTCGTGTCCTTGATACTGTTCACACTCAGGTGAAGGCTGCAGCCTGCGTAAGAGAAAAGCAGTAAATAAAAGACCATTCTTTCGTGAGAGGTGAAAGTTCCCTAACGACACAGTGGGAAGTGAGGTTTCCTGCCGTCATTTCTGCTACTTTTTACAGATGGATAAAACTCAAAACTCAGTGCAACATGCTTTTGGTCCAGATTCAAGCTTGACTGCTCCTACAAGATCATATGAGACTTTCCATTTCTTTCTTACATCTGGCCAGATTAAATTGGCACGGGCTTCCCTCTGGCCTCCTAGGATATCAGATCTTACACAGAGACAAGACTTAGCTGCTGCATTAGCCTCAGAGCTGAGGCTTCCGTTGCTCCTGAATTTTATCTTTACAGAGGGCTTTGGCTTAGTGTTTCTATGGAGGCAACACTTCTCTCTTCTTTTCTTGCTTGCAGCAGTTTCACCAATGTTTTCCTAGGTCCTTACTCTACTATTGCCTCCTGCAATTTTCCACAAACTACTCATCAGTCCTCTGCTCTCCTGAATTCATCTCCTTCTGCAGAATCTGCAAGTCGACAGCAGTTTGCTGTTTGGCGTTCATAAGGTTGTGTTATTTGTAACATTCTTTCTAAATCATTCAGCTAGACAGTTTAGGAGTCGAGGATAACCGTGCATGTTCCTAATGCCCCTGAACAAAAACCTTTTGCTCACTGTTGAACTGATGAATGATTGTGGGCCTGGGCCGATGTTCTGCTGATGCTCCCTGAGCTGCAGCTGCAGTTGGCACTTCATTTCCCTTTATATGCAAACAAGCATGTAAGGAACTCTCATTTTATTCTTTGCTCAGTCAACATCAAGAAAGGCATCATTTAGCTTTCCCCTGCCCTAGTTAGGATTTAAGGGCATTGCATTCACAAGGAGTCTAGATCTGCAGTTTAGGAAATGGTCCATTTTATTAGGAAGCACAATTTTCAAAATGTAGACATGGGTCTCAGAGTCTAGTCTGCGTCCCCTTTGCTTTTTACATTTCGTTCCAAATTGGCAAAAAGTGTGTCCCAACTGGAGGCTAAGACTTGGAGAGAATGACTCTTACAGACACAGAAGTTCCTGTCTGGGACAGAGAAAAATGCAGAGGAATAAAGGAGAAAAGAGACACGGCGTTACTTATTACACAGTCTGTCAGGACTGCTGCACAGCCACTCATTCACGGTAATTTAATGGTGGATAGAGGAATATTTAATTTGCGTTTTGGAGAAGTTCTTGGACAGACAGTTTTCCGTCCTGGAAAGAATCCAGCCCCTGTTTCTTCTCCCCCTTCATCTCTCGTCATCCTCTCCTGCCTGCCCCTCCCTCCCACACCAGACACGCTCTCCTTTCAAAAACTTACTGACCAGAAAATTGTCGAGGGCAAGAGCCCAGCGAGGCGGTTAATCCCCGCTGCGGCAGGCCCGCTCCCGGAGGCTTCCTGCCCTGCGCTTACCTCTGGGTGACCCCAGCAGTTGGCAGCCAGGGAGGCAGGTGGAATGGGAAAGCCATCGCTCCTGCTCGGGGCTGCTGGCGAGAGCCAGGGCAGCAGCAGGGCAGGAGTCTTCCTACCACTGGACACAGGAAAGAATTGATTTATGGTGACAGAGGAACTTAACACACCCTCCTCTTAATTAACTTTAAAGTAGGTAAGGGCGGTGACATCACAGCTTAGTGCAGATTTTCCCAGGATTTATTTGCGAGCAGATTTTGCAAAACAAACTTTATCTCCAGATCTTCACCCCTCTGGCAAGGCACAGAACTCCTTATCTGGCCTCAGGAAAATCATTTCAGCAGAGTGGCAGGCTCTGCAGACACCGCATCCTCTACTCCCAGAGGGCTTGTTTAACTCTGGACTTAATCTGTTAATGAGACATGCCCTGGGGTCGGAGGGGAGTCAAAAGGGAGATTTTAGCTGCTGTTGTACTAAGGCAAGACTTTCTAATAGAGGCCCGCGCTGGCTACTTGCCAAAAGCCCCGAACCCGACTGCAGGTTTCAATCCTGATTTTC